GGCCAGTAAAATACTAATTATTTTGATGTATGTTCTCTCCGTTACATTGACTTGAATCAAGTAAGCCAACTAATTTAGTCGCTTAGAGGTTTATATCATAATTAATTCACCCCAGGGCTTATTATTTTGGTGATGTAGCTGGAGTAGGTGATTAAAAATTCTTTGAAAACTTAAAATTTGAAATATTTACAGGTTGACATATTTGAGGTCTGAAGCTTTGTAGCTAGTTTGTTTCTTTGTACCCTGGAGCAGACCCAGAAATGCTTTGTAAGGAAAGCTTTGGCCATGTCTGTAGGCATTCCTTCACTCTGCGGTGTGGAGAGATGGCAAGTCCATTTATCTAGGAGAGGAAAGTCATAGATTCTTTTGTCCTAGAGGATGGATGTCAATTCTGCCTTCCACATGGCTGTTTTTATTTTTTTTAAAAAAACACGTCTGGATCTGTCCCTACTCGGCAATAACAATAATAAAAAAATACTAATAGTTGCCTTTCATTGACAGCCTACCATGTAACCATGCAAAGTGCTAAGTACTTTGAGTACTTTATATCTTTTACTTCTCACAACTCTGTATAGTGGATATTATTCCTGTTTTATGGATAAGGAAATTGAAGCTAAGAGAAACAGAGGACATATATATTTTAAAGTCTTACGAAAGAATATAATGTTGCCAAATTATTTAAAATATATATAAATTTTAAATACAAACAGCTATAAAGGCCATACAATCACCTGCTCTAGACTAGCATTTCCTCAGGTATGTTTGGTGACATACTTGGCCTTCACTACTATGGCCCTATAGGAATTGTTTTCCTTTAACTACACTGTAGTATTTATTATGCCTTTGGCCTATACTAAGGGGCACTTATACATATGAAACTCACTATTACATTTATTATTGAAATGGTGATGAGAACTTCATTTACCATATGTTTTAGTACCAAATCTGAGGCCCTAAAAGAGAAATACCTCTCAAACAGCAGGGCCAGAAACACTTGGCTACTTCTAAGCCACCAGTGTTCCTTTTTCTAATGAACAATGGGAAATTTTAACAGGTAACATTTCTTTATTTACTTGAGTCACTAGGAAGCACAGAGTAATATCTGAAATTCTCTTTGATAACTATCAAGGTGCTCAAGGCAAGTATTTCTCTACTAATTTTAGTTCTGACCTCAGCTTAATATTCCTTTGTTAAATTCCTCATACCCTGATTTACTTCAATTTTGGAGTGAACTCTCAAAGTCCAATGTTAGTTTCCATTTTTATGCTGAAATCTGATTTCAATAGCTATAAGAATATACATATAGCAATATGTATACACATAGGAAATATTTTTTGGCAACTCTTGTAACCTGTATCAAAGCAACATAAAAATTAGGTTACACTAGGCTCCTACTAGGCGGACAATTTGCCCAAAAACGTGAGCCATAAACATTAACTAGTTCTGTAAACTCACATTAAGACAATTATTTTAAATTGCCAAAACTTACCAATCATAATTCTCATTTTCATATACAGTCTAAAATAATTCTAATAAAACTCCTGGAAACTAGCTCAATAAGTAAACGTGTTAGTTATTTCAGGGTTAGGACCAATTTCATGCTGTGAACAACAAATGTAATCTAACCTGGGCCACTGATGTATTCAGTTTATTAATAGCTCATCTAATCGATTCTGTCTTCATTCTAAATAAATAGGTCATAATTTAAAAAAACTGTATTTTTACATTAAAAGAATGTAAAGCACATTTCAGCACACATTTGATTTTTACAACATCACTTTAGGACAGCATTGCTACTCCATTTTGCAGATTGAGAAAACAAATAAGACATTAATAAAACTAATAAAGTTCAAGTGACTTTAGCAAGGTAGCATATGCTGATAGAACTGGAACTAGAAAAGAGACATTTCTTTCCAGACTTTTCCTAGAAGGAAGTTAGGACATAAACTAGAATGAAATGTTTTTAATCTTTATAAACAACATTGTGTCAGACAATAGGAGATAGATTTTGACCTTTACTATTGAGTGCTAAGAACTAGTAATGAAAGATTTTATCTCCTGCAACATAAATGCCCTTAGGTAAAAATGGGTCTGATCCAACTTAGTTCAATGTGATAGATGATTTAATGGAAATGGAGTCATTTGCTCTTTGGAGGAAAAAAATGCAGGCCCAACCCAAACTAGTTAGCATACCCTAGCTCTAGCCTGGGAGCCCTGCAGGATCTTTTTTCTTTAGTAGATGAGTCTAGCCACATTCTGATCTAAATCTTAGTTAAATGTATTACAATTTTAACCCTTTCAAATAATTAAAAATTATATAAACCCGTATTTTATAATTCTTAAAAATTTGCCTCTCCAGTATACTACTAAAATTTACATTCAGAGGGATGGAACTAAAGTCGAATTATCTTCAATAACGTTACGTTTGTACAGACTGTTTTCTGCTATAAGCATCACATTTGATTTTAATGAAGAAATTTTGTGGAAAGTATGACATTTAAAATAACAACTAAGGTAACAGAATTTAACATATGAAGATATTTACACTTTATATATAAAATACTTATGGGTGCTTTTTCAAAATAAAGCAACATTTTATTTACATTTACTCATTTGGCTGGGCTATGTTTTTTAAACTTGAAAGGTATTAAATGTTCACACATCAAATTAAATAGATATAATTACGTCTTTTTTAAAAACAATATGTTTTTTGGTTGGGTGCGGTGGCTCATGCCTGTAATCCCAGCACTTTGGAAGGCTGAGGCAGGAAGATCGCTTGAAGCCAGGACCTCAAGACCAGCCTTGGCAATGTAGCAAGACCCTGTCTCTACAAAAAATTTAACAGTTAGCTGGGTGTGGTGGCACGTGCCTTTAGTCCCAGCTACTTGGGAGGCTAAGGTGGGAGGGATCACTTGAGTCCAGGAGTTCGAGGCTACAGTGAGCTATGATCATGCCACTGCACTCCAGCCTGGGTGACAGAGTGAGATCTCTGTTTCTAAAACAAAACAAAACAAAACAAAAACAGAATATGTTTTTAAAGAAGTGACTTAGGTGTCCTCACCTGAGGCTGCTGTGGCATTTGTGGGGGTTGAACCAGCGGCTTGAATCCGAGCATGAGGAGGAATAAGGATGGTAGCCAGAGGTGGATTACTTGACAGTTCTAGAGAAAGTAAGACACAAATGTTAGAGCCCATTCTTAACTGTGTATGCAAAAATACTTTATTGGTAACAATAAAAGATATTGCATTAAAACATCAGTTTAATGGGGAAAACTAACTCAATGAGCTAGCAATTAACTTATAGAAAAAGCCCACAGAGATGTGATACATAGCAAAGGCATCATCTGCTAAAATTAAGAGAACTGAGAATTAAAGAGATCTTGGGGAAAGGTAGTGGTCAAAGTTTTAGAGTAAGCACATTAATAAGATGTTTTCATCTTTCATTGACTTAAATTTATTAGGTTTTCCTGTCCTATTCTGGCAGTATTTGACTACAGGAATTGAGGGTGTTGGTGTTACAGCAAAGAGAGTATATATGCAGTTAGTGTGTGTCTGTATGTGTACGCATGCACGACTGGATGTACAGACCAACCTGCCCAATTGTTTATGGGCCAATGGGGCATAAGACCTATCCAGATGCTAGTGTACTGGAAATAAGATTTAACAAACATGTTTGATCATTGCTTTTATTAAAAAGAAGAATGTCTTTATCCAATTTTATTTTTTTTTAATTCAGTAAAATTGTTACTTTTTAAAGTTTGAAATAGGCTTTTTACTTGCATGTGAGAAGTTTATCTCTGTTAACTGTATATAGACTGGCTTTCTTTAATGAATCAAGTTATGTATAGGAGCCTTAGGAAAATAGTATAAGATGATATTGGATCTAACAAGGTAGATAGATAGCAAGTAGTGGTGGTGAGCTTGTATATACAAGTATCTGTTGTTACTTTTAGGTAATATGTCTATTCTCTCAGTTTGCCTGCGGATAACCCTGGTTTATGCTTGTTACTCTAGCATTTAACCTGTGAGTGCTCGTTTTTGCTCTAATAAGTGTTCACGGTCTGAAGGAATAATTACATGACCATACTAGCTACATGAAGACATCATCCTCTGAACTACAGCATAGATTTTGACAATTCACAGATATGGCATGGACTAAAAAAAGTTGTGAATAGTATATTTTTAAATTAAAGTAAAAGTCATATAACATAAAATGTACCATTTAAAAGTATATAATTCAGTGACATTTAGTACATTCACAATGTTGTACAATCATTACCTCTATCTAGTTCCAAAACATTTCCATCACTCCAAAGGGAAACCCCTGAACCCACTAAGCAGTCACTCCCTTTTAACTTCTCTCTCTAAGGACCTAGGCAAGGCAAACAGTGTTTTAATGCAGTAGTTTTTATGTTTTCTGGAACCCCTGCCAATATTGATTTATTCAACTTGTTATCTAAATATCTAAATTTTGTACTAGATACTAAATGATACCAGATTCTGGTAACAAAAAGCAATAAACTGATGCCATGATTTATGAAAAATGAATGGGAGGGAAAGCTTAAAACTTTTAATAGTCTTCCTTGGGAAGACAGCTGGAAAACCATTGCCCTAATTATCAGGTTCTAGGAGATGCCGTTTTATCACCATTAGATTTAGTAGCTGTGTTGGTTCTCACTGAGGAACAGAAAGATCCTATGCCATTTTACTTTAAGTCAGTCTAACTTTAACCCACAATCTATACTTAGGAAAGCAAGAGAATTTCTGGTAATTGCCATAGCTAAAGACTTTATGGTTCTAAGAATAAAAAAGTATTAATGCAGTATGTGGCAGTTAGTCTAAAACTCAAGATTTACCACCCCAATTAAAATTAAAATTTCCTAAAATAGAAAGGCTTCTTTAAAATCCTTCCATCCATCTATCTACTCACCCACATACCCATCCATCTAACAATACTGAACACAAAAAAGTGCGTTAGGTCCCAGAATAGAGAGATAAAATGATAATTATTCTTGTCTGATCAACAGAAACGGAAGTGGACAAATGAACAAATAAGCCGGCAAGAAAGGCTCTCGACCTATTTACGATAGGGGGCATTTTCAATGAAAAGATGTCTATGACCATGTGCCCAACATCTAAAAGAAAACCTAAAAAAGAAAAACATAACCAGAAGTTTTAATGTAAGACATCTTTAATGTAAGACATCTACTGTTAAGATAACCTTTACAATAAACTGATTATCAGTGGTCTGCAGTCGCTTTCCTCACGGCCCATGGTGCCCATTCCTCCCACGTGTTTGCTCTCTCTTACCAGATCACCTGTCCTTTGGGTATCCGCATGCCTGGTTGAGAGCCATGGAGTTTTCTGTCTTAGTCTGGGTAAAAGTATGCACATGTACAGTTAGTTGTCCCTCGGTATCCACAGGGGACTGGTTCTAGGAACCTCCTTGAATACCAAAACCCAAGGATACTCAAGTCCCTTATATAAAATGGTGTAGATTTGCAAATAACCTCTGTACATTTTCCCACATACTTTAAATAATCTCTAAATTACTTATAATGCCTACTACAATGTAAACGCTATGTAAATAGCTGTTATACTGCATTTAAAAATTTGTATTATTTTTTATTGTTTTTTTTTCTTGAATATTTTTAATCTGTGATTGGTTGCATACAGGGATGTGGAACCCACAGACATGGAGGGCTGACTCTACAGGCATATACAGGTGAAGGGCTTGAAAAAAGCAACCCTCTTTTTTCATAGGTAGTCATAGACTGTCATTCTGGCCTTGGATAGGGAGAGAAGGGTAACTAATGAAGGGAAAGAAAGGAAAAAGTGAAGACAATAAGAAGTCAAGAAAAGGAGCAGCTCTGAGGTCCTGGAGGCTTTGCCACACCCAAAGACACGGGAATGGAGGTTGGGGAGATGGGGGCGTGGGGACTTTGTCAACTTTTTTGAGTCAAACACCCTAAAAGTTAAGAATTCTGAAATGGACATCACTCCTCATTCTACATCCCTCCAGCTTCTATACCTCATCGTCTTCCTCTTCCTTAATTATCGGCATTTCTTAAGATCCACTGCTTCCATGTGTTCACCCTTCTCTACTTCAGAGAGGTTGTTAACTGTCATAGCTTTTGCCTGTGAAACAAGGAAGCCTCCTTGCATTCTTCCTATAGTCCTGTTCTTGCCACTACAAGTCTGCATCTTTTATGGGGACAAGCTATGGGAACCTCTATGGAGCTGTCACAACTAGTACAAAATAGTTTATTTTTCAGTCCCAACAATTACTACCTACTTCCAATCACCTTGACTATCCAGGGCAATGAGTAATAAGGAGATGGAGACAATGAGTGTGGATACAAACTGTGTAAAAGAATGCAAAAAAAGGCATTTGGGAGGATAGAAACAGCAAAGCAATAGCACTTTTCAGGATCAAGAGGAGAAGTATATGTATGCTTGAAGGCAGACAAAGAATGCTAAAGAGACTGAAATTGAAAAGTAAGCTAATATTTATTTACTAAATATATATACATGCTAAGCTTGAGTAGGAAAATAACTGAGGCAACAAAAGGTCCATGATGAAGAGGGGTTAGCTTTGGATAAGTGAGAAGAAACTTAAGATAGGAAGGATAATTGATAGACTGTGTTACCTCAGAGACATGGTTCAAAACAAAATAGCAACAGATTCCAGAAAACTTTAGAAAAATTAATGTATGAAAATTTCTTCAACCAAACGCAGATGTCATGAAAACTATTAATTAAAAATCCACATAATAGTTTATTAGGGAAAACTAAAAATGTTTTGATGGTGTATCAATCATTATGTGCTCCATAATCAAACATTTTAGTACACAATTTAAGCAAAAGCAATTTGAATCAAACAACCAAGACAGATAGCAATCAACCAAAAGGTTAACCAAACTCAGTCAATTAAATTTTGCTGCATTATTTTTTAATACTGCAAACTATAGAAAAAACATTCCCGTGAAAAGACAAATTGAATAAATTCAACCATGCCTGATGAAACAATCTTTTTAAGTGGAAAAACAAAACCTAAATCTAGTTCGCAATACCTGAAGTTTCTTTTAATCTAAAGTTTTTATTATTCCAAGTAAAAGATTCCCAAATTCCTAGGTAAGAAGCGGGTAGGTAAAAACATTCCTAGTTTTTTTTTTTTTTTTTTGTGAGGTAGGGAGAGGAGTAGTAGTAGTAACATATGTTTGTTCAAACTGTTGTGTGAAAGCTGAGGATATGAAAGCAGCAATCACTGTCTGAACCAGAGGGAAGAAATAAACCCCTCTATTGCCTAGTTCTCCTTCTATAGAGATGTAATAAAATATCAGTCATTGGGTAGAAGGAAATCTTCCTTTGTTAGCTTTGAAAGAGCACACCCTGCAGATCCCCAGAAAAGAGTCACTAAAATAGGTAGACTTTCTTTTTCTTCTACAAGTAGTTTGAGCTCCTCATGTGTGTATCAGGTCTCTTATGTGTATATAAAAATTGTCAGTGGTTGTCTATATAGTTAAAACTGCTATTTCTCTCTATTCACAAATAGGTTTAAATGACTTAACAACGGGGTGCCCAGTTTTGAGCAGTAACTAAAATGCTAGGATGGTGCCCCCTTAATGTCAGGCATTACCAAATTCTAATGTTGTTTATTTGTATGTATTTTTTTTTTATATGAGTAAGTAGCTACATCATAACTGCTTCTCTCCTTGGTAACAATTTCCAAGAGTCTAGGAAATTTCTGACCAAGATCCTAATGCTGACCACATATTTCATATTCATCCAGAAAATTAAACAAATACTAAAGTAAGTGGAAAATCATACAGTAGTGAGCAAATTACAAGGCTTACTCCTGCTGTTTTAGTGATACTGGTCATGTTTCATTTGAGGATTACATGATATTTTCCCCAAATCATGACTACTCTGCCTTGGAACTGTCCAGCGGGGAGTATCATAATTTGTAGCAGTCACCAAAAATGTCTGAATGCTTTTAGTATACTACATTTATAGTGCAGGTATATTTTACAAGTTATCTAGCAAAATGTTAGTATTTTAAAAATTCTGGTTTGATTTACCTAAAAATCTTATACTCAGAAGCCCATTCTTAAAGAAGTACAAGAAATGAGGCATTACTAAGTTCTTTTATCCAACTAAA